AATAAAAATTTACCAACTAAGAAGAGCCTGGGCCCTGAGGACTTCACTGCTGAATTCTACAAGATGTATACCGTGGAACTACTGCCACTACTATATAAACTCTTCAATAAAATTGAAAAGAGCAATACTCTGAAATTCATTCCTTGAAGTAAGCATCATCTTCATCCAAAAAGCAGAGAAAGACTCAACAAAGAAAGAGAACTATAGGGCCAGGGATTTAGCTCAGTGGTGCTGCCACCTGTCTTGCAAGTGCAGGGTCCTGAGTTCAATCCCTGGTACCACAAAAAAAAAAAAAAAAAAAAAAAAAAAAAGAAAGAAAGAGAACTATAGGCCAATCTTGCTAATGAACATAGATGCAAAAATCCTTAATAAGATAATGGCAAATAGAATGCAGAAGGTCATCAAGAAGATCATAAAACTTGACAAAGTAGAATTAATCCCAGGGATGCAGGGATGGTTTAACGCATACACAAATAAATAAATGTAATACACTATATTAATAGAGCCAAGAACAAAAACCATATGACCATCTCAATAGATGCTGAAAGAGCATTTGACCAAATTCAACATACACTTATGATAAAAACCCTACAAAAAATTGGAATAGATGGTCTCTACCTCAAACTGATAAAAGCCATCTATGAAAAACCAACAGCCAATATCATACTAAATGGTCAAAAACTGAAATACTTCACACTAACATCAGGAACAAGACAAGGATGTCCTCTATCAACACTCCTGTTCAGTACAGTTTTGAAAACATTAGCCATAGCAATTAGACAAGGGAAATAAATAAAAGGAATAAAGATAGGAAAAGAAGTCAAATTGTCATTATTTGCAGGTGACATGATACTCCAAGAGCTCCACCAAAAGTCTTCTAGACTTAATAAGCAAATTCAGTAAAGTAGCTGAAAAAACACAGGTGTGTCCTATTTATTTCACTTAAGAGTGTCACCTTACTGTGTATCCATTTAGTTATAAATGCCACCAATTTCTCATTCTTTATGGCCAAGTAGTATTCCATTTTGCATTTTTTAAACTGCTGGAAAAACTGGATTTCAACTTGACCAAGATTAAAACTGTACCAATATCTCTCACCATGCACTAAATTAAAATCAAAATGGATTAAAGATCTAAATATTAAAACAGAAACAATAAACTGGCTAGAAGAGAGGTTAGCGAGAACTCTTGAAGACGTTGTTGGAAGAAAAGACTTTTTGAACAAAACCTCAGTTTCCTGTGAACCAGCAGAAACAATCAACAAGTGTGGTCTCTTCTTATTAAAAAGCTTGTGCGCATCAAGAGAAGCAATCAATAGTGTGAAGAGACAACCCAAAATGTGGGGAAAACTTTTCACCAGCTCTTCCTCAGACAAAGGTCTACTATCTAGAATGTATAATGAACTTTTAAAAAAATCAGACCTTCCAAATTTAAAGATTCGATCCAAAAATAGGCATCTGAAATGAACAGACATTTCTCAGAGAAAGAAGTAGAAACAAAAAATAAACATATGAAAAAATGTTCAATATCACTTGTCATTCAAGACGCAAATGAAAACAATGCTGAGATTCCACCTCACCCAAAAAAGAATGGCTGCTATATGAAATCAACCAATAACAAATACTGGTGGGGCTGTGGGGAAAGTGGAACCCTTCTCCACTGTTCATGGGAGTGTAGACTGATACAACCACTAGAAATCACTATGGAGATACCTCAAAGAACTAGGATTGGAAGTCTCATTTGACTCAGCTATTCCCCTGCTGTGTATTTTCCCCAAAGAACTGAAAGAATCACACCACAGTGATATATGTGCACCCGTGTTCATAGCAGCACAATTTGTAATAGCTAAAACTTGGAAGTAGCCCAAATACCCATCAACAGGATACTAGATAAAGAATATGTAGGGTTTTTATGAAATGGTGTACTACTCAGCCATAAAGAATGAGAAACTAGAGACATTTATAGCTAATCAGATGCACATGGAGGTGAAACTCAAGAGAAACAAATGGAACACACGTGTAAATACTGAATAGTTTATCTGCTGTGAGAAACTGAAACTGTAAATGAGGACTAAAAAGTATAATGGATAATGTGAACTAGGAAGAAAAGGGATGGGGGAGGGGAAAAGGGAGGGGTAGGGGAAAGGAAAGAAGGGAATGGAAGTATAGGACAATGAAAAAATGGAAACAAAGTCTTTGTAGATAGGGAGGGATGGGGGGGTTGAAGGGAGGGCAGGGGAATGGGGAAAAATATGAACCAAGATGGATTATGTAAAGGTGCAAATTTCCAATGATGAATGTCATTATATTGTATACCTTAAATCTACCAATAAAATTAATTTAAAAACAAAAAATAAATAAACATATATCATTGAACCTAAAAGATATCTGAAAAAAATTATTTTTCTCATTTGTTAAATATTTTGGAAATTTTAATTGCACTGTTAATCTACTTAAAGGGCTTGGTACTCAATGCCATAGCTATTAGCTATGTGTGACAATTGAGTATTTAACAATTTAGTTTGTCTAGATTGAGCACATAGTGTGCTACATGTGTAGATCATGCATGAAATTTCTAAATTTCGGCCCTCAAAATGTAAAACATTTCAGTAAGACTTACATTAATGATAGGTTGAAATTCTAATATTTTGAGAATATTGGGGAAATTAAATTTTAACAAAATTAATAAAATTTATTTTAATATGACTACTAGAAATATAAAATTAAACATACAGCTTACATTATATCTTTGTTGAACTGCACTGTTACAAATAATATAAAGAAAAGCCTCCAAGGCTTTAATGGATTCTAATTTTTGTCTGTAGAAGAAAAAAATAAAATGATAAATGTCTCTAATGAACCTGAAAACCCATTCCTCCAAATCAGGGCAAAATGATCCATGGTCTACTTAAGTCAAAGGAATTAGTTGTGAATGTAAGCAAATTGAAACTACTGTGAGAAATAGCTATAAGGCCTCTAGGAACCACAAATTACCATTTAAATCCCCTATAAAATTGACACCACAATTTAATTAGATTTATATTATATATATATATATATATATATATATATATATATGTGTGTGTGTGTGTGTGTGATATATAAATATAGATGTAGATAGATATAGATATAGATATGATCAAAGAAGAGGACTGCAATACAAAGTACCCAGTGTTCTGAGAAGCCAGTTAAGAAATGAATGTGGAGCCAAGTGTGGTAGGACGCACCTATAATGTCAGCACTGTAGGAGGCTGAGGCAGGAAGATGTCAAATTTGACCCTAGACTGGAGAATTAAGTAATTGAGTGAGACCCTGTCTCAAAATAAAAAATATAAAAGGGCTATGGATGTGACTCAGTGTGAAGTCCATGGGTTCAATTTCCAGTACTAAAAACAGAAAGAGTTCGGTGACATTGTGCCTTTTGTGAGGAGCCCTGGATTGAATCCCTAGCCCTCCATTTAAAAAAAAAAAAGAAAAGAAAAGAAAGAAATGAGTGTGTCTCACCCTTGCTATGACTTCAGTGTGTCACCAGGAATTCATATGTTGGAAACTTTATCCCCACAGTCATGTGTAATGGTACTTGAAGTTCAGGACTTTGAGAAGTAATTAGAGTTAGATGAGGTCAGGAGGGTGGGGCTCCCATGATGAAGTTAGTGGCTTTTTAATAAGAGAGACCTATGCTGCCAGCCTGCTGTCTCTTGTCTTGCCATGTTATGATGCAGTAAGAAGAGCCTTTCCAGATAACCTTCATAGTGGGCTTCCCACTGTACACAAAAGTGAGCTAAATAAAATTCTGTTCTTTATAAATTACCCAGTGTGTGCTATTCTGAAAAACCAAAAGTAAACCATCTAAGACACTAGACAAGAAAGACTGTTCTTCAGCCCCTCCCTACCTTATCTTCTGAGTTCCTAAGCCTCATCTAAGAGGCATCCTCTCTCTCTTTCCATCCAGCCATGGAATGACATCCCCTGAAGGTCTCCTGAGACGCAAAGGTAGCATCAGGCTCTCAGCTGAATCGAGTTGAATTGTCTTCAGCTATAATACCTGTCATCCCTTTCAGCTTTTCCTGTACTTGGCTTTCAGTGCCTGAAATTCTCTCTCTCAGTTCATCTGCAAGGACTAGCCCGGGCCACCTTCCCCACCTCCACCACCACCCAGGCAGGTCACATCCTCCTAAGTTACCCATTTCTTCAATGTTTCAGCCACCTCTAAGATTTAGGAGAGGCCAGCGAGGGAAAGGAAAGGGGATGAATAAAGGAATTAAGATGTGTTACGTACGCGCATCAACTTCACTTAAGGAAGGTGAACACTTACTAATAAATTAAAATTTCAAAAATTTTAAAAATTAAATAGCTAAAAATATTATCTAGCAATTAGTCACATGATTGTGAAAGAAGGTTGTAGGAACATTTATTACTTTATCAAGGAGCAGAATTCTTTCTCTTTACACTAAAGAAAAGCAAAGTGAATATTGTAACAAGAACATTATTATTATTATTATTATTATTATTATTATTATTATTATTATTACTATAACTATTGGAACTTAGGGCCTTGACACTGAGCTATACCTCCAGTCCTTTTCAGGTTCTTTTTCTTTCTTTCTTTCTTCTTTTTTTGAAACCATCTTGCTAAATCACTGGCCTCCAACTTGTGATCCTCCCTCCCACCTTGGCTTTCCAGAGTGCTGAGATTACAAGGTGTGCAACCACACCTGGTGCAAGAAAATGATTTTTAAGCAAGTTCATTATTTAGCAGTAGTTAATAACAAACAAGCCTAACAAATAGAATTAAATAATATGTGATATATTCCAGATAGTTGAACTCTCTACAACTATTATAAATCATGCTTTTGAGACTAATGTCAAAGGAAATTTATACAACAAAAATTAAAGGTAGGTAATTGTATATGTGTTAATATGGTCTTATTGTAAAATAAAATATGTAAGAAACATTAATATTGACTACCTTTGGATTATAAAATTATACATTTATTTCTTTCGAGTTTCTGTGTTTTCAAGTTTTTACAATTAACATATATTATGCTTACATCCAGAAAAATATATACATAAAATAAATCATTTTCTAGTGTCTGATTTTAATAAGTCCAGTTTTATAAAGAATACCACTAAATGCTTATCTTTCATGGGAGAAATACCACCTCTTCAGATGATACATAGTACAGTACAGTGTTTTATTATACACTATGACCCTGTGTCAACAAGGTTAGTTATGACTATTACAACTGGTTTATCGTCCCTGATACAATATTGATTTATCTATAAAACAACTCCAGTGTAATAGAGAGACTCCCTTCTCTAAAAATCAGCAAGACATTTAAAGGGCATTAAAAGGACTATCTAATTAGCCCTTTCTTTTGAAAGCAGTAGCATGTTTCAGTGCAAAACTCATTCAAAATGACTTCCACAGATACAAAAATAATAGAGAGTGGAGCTCAGAGATCACAAAACCAAATCTTCCAGTGTTAACAGACCTGATTCCTTTTGAACATGTGTTAAAATTTTCAATTCAGAGAATTTACAGCACATTTTGAAATACAAAAATAACAGTCACTCTTCACAGGATGAGATATCTCATCCATATTCCCCCAGGAAAGATCATCTCATTCATTCCAAGGTCTGCTAAAAAAAAAAAAATGTAAAGTCAAGTTAACCATAATGTTGTTCATCATGAATATTTCTTCCTTTTTCTTCCACCTCAAGCCAGTGCAGCCTACAGTAGTTCATAACTGCTTTGTACTTTCTGAAGAACCCATCATCTTATGATTCATGTATTCGTTCCTTCTTTTTTCTTTGCCAAATGTTCAGTAAGAATCTCTTACGCACATGCCCTCTAATGGGACAAAACCCCATGACTTAGGGTTTAGAGATTGCCTCAAAAATTCACACAAAACAGAATAAAAATCTCCATAATTAGCTAAGTATATCATTAACCAGATACATAAATTAATAGTAGCAGCATTCAATAGAAACACAGATTTTAAAAGGAATGTTTCAGCCTAGGGCCACTGTGCTATCTCTCCTGCTTCTGTCTCACCATAGTGTTCATGGGAAACTTGGTTAGAAAGAGGCATGGCTATCAGGCATCACCATGCTGGCAGTTGAGAGACAGTTAACTGGAACTTAACCTTTTATTCTAATTCTTGCCATTATTACTTAAAGAATTTTAAACATGAAATTTTAAAATGGGCACAGATAAAAATATTCCTAATCTTGTCATGCACATTTCTGTACAAAGGTTACCATTTTCCATGCTTTACTTACAGAATGTTACAGAAACTATGATGTCTGTCAGTTTCTTAATCATCAAAAACAGAAGAAATCCAGACAATATTCACCTTTTCCGGATTTTATGGTCACCTGTACCCATTTCAAAATCTCCATCATATGCCACCAAAAGTTTTTCTAGAAGCCAAATGTATGAAATTTAGTTTCACAACATGAAGAGGTGCAAACGGTTAACAGCCAATATGTGCACATAATTATTTCAAAACAAATGAGTGGGAGAAATGTTCAGACTATTTGTAACTTCTTCTGCCTTTCTTAGAGTAGTAAAACATAAGGGCAAGGGAAACAATGCAAGCAAAAAATAGAAAAGCAATGAAAGCCAGTAAAGACTTTCGGGTGCGAAAGAAGCTGCACTCAGTGCACATGGTATATTCTTCTGGACAAAACCTCCCCAGAGTTTCAGGGCCCAGGAAACCGTTGTTGTCAATAATTTTCCTGTAATGTTTCATGGATGGTTTGGGCTCAAACTGATTTGCAGCATAACGATAGAAGCCATACTTCGGAGCGGAGCGATCATTAAATGAATAAGCAAAGTATCCACAAAGATTGATACCATCCAGTACGTAGGCTGGAAAAACAAAAGGACAGGAGTTATCAAAATATTTTGCATAGAACACATTCCTGTACATAGCCTGGATCATCATGGAAAACTTCGGTACCATTTTACAAAACTTCAGACTCAAACCAGAAAAGCCTTCTTTTATGCAAAGATAAATAGGCAAATAGGCAAAGAAAAATATGGAGCTTTATATAATTATATCTACTATGATGCCCTTGGTTTAAATCTTTATGTACTTAAAGCAGATGGCTGTGGGTCCGTCTGAGTTGGAAAACTAGAGAATCTGTGCTTTGGTTAACATGTGCTGAGGATTTTCAGGCTTCCACTTTGCTCTAAACTCCTCTAGCCTTGAGAAGCCTGGCTAATCTCTCTGACTATTTCCTTGTAGCCAGGAATGGCTAGCCCTTCCTTGAGGGTAACAGTGCTCTCCGTCGGAGAGTTTCTATCATACACCACGACCTCTGGTGATATGACCAACTATCAAGAGACTGTGCTTTCAGGGATCCTTTACCTTTCAGAGCTTCGTTTATATAATTTTGTAGGTAATATGTTCTCAGCTTGTCTTGCTCCTCGTGCGGATCATCATCGATCCCGTTGGCGACTATATACACGGGGAGGTCTCCGTACTTCATCTTCAGCCAGTTAAGCACTCTGCGCAGCCCCCAAGGCACCACCGCCACCTGGCTGGGGGAGTTGAGCCAAGTGATGTCGGTCATTTCTTGCACCTCCAGATAGTCGTTGTATTTTAAGGGATCTTCCTTTTCCCAGTCAACAAGGATGGTGGTGTAATGGCTTAGGGCTAAAAAGTCAAAGGAACCTTGGATTAACTTTGCTTCCTCTTCAGTGAAATAAGGGAGAAGAAAATTGCTTCTTTGGTTCAGCCAGTCCCTCATCACACGTGGATAATCCCCAGAGCCAAAAATAGGCTCAGCGAGCCAGCCAATGTCAAATTCCAACACTCTTTCAGCCACTTCTTTGTCCTTTTGGGAGAAAGGGCAAGCTGGTTCTATCCAATCAGCTTGCAAGGCTATGGATATTTTACCTTTCTGGATGGATCTAAACTTCTCATCATACAGGCGCCAAGCCAGAGCGTGAGCCTTCAGAAGGTGGTGCCCTGCGCCGTAGGTCAGGTTGCGAGTGTAAGGCTCGTTCATAGTGATCCAGAACTTGACATGGTGCCCCAGCTCTTCAAAGCAGAGTCTGGCATACTCTGCAAAGGCCAGGGCGATGCGAGGGTTCTCCCAGGCTCCCTGCTTGGCCAGAGAGGCGGGCAGGCCTTGGTGCAGGGCTGCAGGCTGCCACAGGGCTACCACAGGCGTGATGTTGGCACGGACCAGCTCACTGACCATGCAGCGGTAGTAATGCAGGATTGTGCCATTCACCTGGGACAGGTTACCCAGGGGGAGGATTAAAGCCCAATCCAGGGAGAAGTGAAAATGAGTGACGTGCATTTCCTGAAGTAGGGCAATCTGGGGCCGGATGGCAGCAAAATCAACACAGTAGGATTTCCGCTTCTTGGCCACAACTCCATCGACTTTAATAAGCCTCTTACTGTGATGGATGTCCCACAGGTAAATGTTGGGGTCGGTAAACTGAGACAGAGTCATGTCTACCTACAAAGAGTAAAGAGTGAATGCAAGCTTCAACTGCATGGCTCTGAAGAAAAGGAAGAAAAAGCTCAATTATTTCAACAAAACTAAAAAACATGATGAACAAAATTAAGCTCTTGTCTAGCTGAATATTTAAATCATTTTTTCATAATGTTGCTAAGGAAAAAAACCTTCCACTTTTTGTCTTAAGGTCCATTTGTACTAAGCATAGTTCTCCCCAACTCTTTAATTGCTACATTAATAGTTTTTAAAAATCTGACTTTGGTCACTTCAGGTGACAAAACTAATAATATTTGCATACACAGGCAATCTGGATTATGCAAATGGAGTTTTTTTTTAACGAAAGAATGCGGGGCTTTTTTAAAAAACAAAACCAGATTTGTTGAAAAAAATAAGCAGACTAAAAAGAGCTTAAAAACTCAGTAAGCAATACACAAAATGTAATTCTAATTAAACTGTGCTACTTAAAATCACATTCTATACTGAGATTTGCTCTAGGTGCTAAGTAAACATAACTGTTGTATTTCATTGGAATTAGGTCAATGGTAGAATTTAACAAATCAATCTGATGGTAAAAAGTCTGAAAGAGAATACAGAAAAAGGGAACAGTATTATCATTCATCTATAGACTGATATTTTTAAATACAGTTTTTCTTTAGTTTTCTAAACTACTTTTGTTATAATATTGACAATAATGGTTCTCAATCATACATGATAGATAAGCCTCCAAAATGAAAATAGGTTTGTAGGAAAAGTTGGCAAATTATAAAAGCAAAATCATAAAATCCTCCCTCCATGTCTTACACAAACTGAAAAGTCCATCTTGAAGCCCCACAACCTGAGCAGTGTCTCCTCCAAATAACCCTTATTAGAACAGGTATGTTGCTCTAACCCTCTTAATCATCCTAGGTCAGATATACTTTATTTTTGAAGCTCTTGCCCTGGTTTGGTCAAATTTTACTGACCTATTGTAAGTGAACTGCTCATTCCTGGGGATGGGGGAATGGGGAGGTAGGGAGTGCTGTGTTTATAAAAGAAAGTGATAAATAATGGCATGCCAGAGTGAAGTTGCTTTTCTGAGAATTCTGCCTTATAGATCACTGACATGTACATTTCCTCTAAATCTGTGGAAATGCTGTCAGGGGTCTGTCCACTGTGGTATCCTCACAAATCATGTCTCCTCAGTTTCTTGAGAGACTATGTGCATCATCTTTTGAAGTAAAAGTGGTCAGATCTTGAAGGAACTTTTTGGATTATTTTTATAGAGCTCTGAGTTGACTAAATTCATAACTTTTCTACCAAAATCATTCCAAAACAATAGGTTTTATTCAGTCCATCTGAAAGGAAGTAGGAGAGACCACAGTATAAATTCTGAGGGAAAAAATAATTTCCTAAAAATATGGGACATTCAGAAATGAGAGGCAAAATTCCATCTAACCTCCATTAATTTATTGATTTAGCTTTCATTGAAAAAAATGAAATAATAAAATTGGACCTTTGTGAAGAAATGAGCATAAAGCATGTATTTAGTATGTTATGGATGAGACTTTCTCCTAAGAAGGTCCAAAGTCAAGGAAGCTCTATGTCCTCAGCATGTAATATATTCTGTACTTCTATTAACTATGTATATATGTACATTAGTGGTTACTGGGAAACAACCGGCCAGATGGGAAATGGGATCCAAGTAAACTGACAATCCATGCGATTGAGCTCAAGGTCAGACTTCAGACAGATTGTATGATGAGTGAAATAGTTTTTAGTGTTTCAGGTGAAATGAATGCCTCAAATATTAAGAGTTCGAAATCCTAGCCAGGAGAGAAAAGATGAATTTTGATGGTTTAAAAATCACTTCTCATGAACTTTAATATAACATGTTAAAAGTGTAGAGCCCGGCTTGTCAATGAAAACACACACACACATCCCCAGAACTATGAGAACAAAGAATAGCCTTCTCCTATATCAATCAGAGAGTTAGCTTGGGAAGGAATCTGCCAACATCATGCAAAGCCCAAGGTGCAAACCAGAAAAAAGAAATGGCAACTGTAAGCAGCTCCCACCAGAGAAATCCTGGAGAACTTCACATCCACTGTGGAATGGAGGTTGATTTAATTTTGCATTTGTTGGGTTCTTCAGAGAAGGAAGTGGAGGGGATGGGACCAATGGAGATATGGGGATGCTGGCCATGTAACAGATCCCAAAACAACTGCTTCTAGGGTGTCAAAAAGGAATTCTCTCCCCATCTCCCTGCTTATCCACTGCCATGATTTTTCGCTTCTGATCACAAGTTCTCTCTGTCTCAAGGATACATGATATGCCTTTAGCTCCTTGTCAGTACTTACTGTTTCCACACCAAAGGTGCAGCCCTTGCACGTGGAACAGGACAGGAGTAAAATGACTCACCCACTCAACTACCTTCCCTGCACTCCCGTACTCCACACATATTCTGGCTGTGAGGCTACCCTGCACGCACAGGGCTGACTTGGGAGTTACCTGCCAGACTTCAGCTGCTCTACTGGAGATCAGTGACAAGACACAAAGCTGGTAGGGAATAGACAGAGGTATAAAGGTAGAACAAGTATCAGGCTTTATGGAATACACACCTGGCACCAATAACAGGGAGGTGAATGAAGATGCTGTGAGAGATAGCTTCCTTCCTGCATCCTTTTCTCCTGTTTCCTTACCAGCTCCATATCTAGTATAGTTAGAAACAATGGAACTGAAGAAGTCATTCCCTTATACCCATTTAATTTTAAACAGCATCCTACAGCCATTTCTTCTTCCATTGACCTGAGAGGTAATTGGACATTGGAGAGGAATTCAATAATTCAATTATTACTATTATTATTATTATTATTATTTAGGACAAGCCCAATGCTCTAGGTGAGATCACATGCACATTGGATCTCCTAGCCTGACCTTCAGATGCCTTCACCCTACTGCAGCCTCACTAAGGTTCATAAATATGTACTACAGGTACTACATGTCATGTTATAATTAATATAGAAATGAATACTGGGACAAGCATGCATGTTGAGAGCCCCTAAGATGACTCAGTACCCTGTCAATCATACCTTGAGATTTAGAGGAAAATAGCTGGCTTTGGTGCGTATCCTTTAATTTCCAAAGAGCTTCTTTATCAGGCTGGCTGCTGCTGTGTGCTATGGTCTGTGTGCAGTGCTTTTACTTTCCTGTCACCCTGACACCATTTTTCTGTGCCATATCTTTTGTCAGTGTGGACTTGCCCTGAGCATAACTTCCTGTGGTCTTCAATAAATGTAGCTTCTTTCCAGTTGCCATTAGGTGTATGCTTTTCAATTCTTTGCTTATCATACAGAAAAGTCTGGGTTATGCACGGTCATCATACAATAACATAGCTGTCACCTTGAGCCCCTTTGTGGATTCCACATTGAGGAGAGAAATTAAGATAAGGAGGTTCCAAATAGCATTGGACTGAGAAAGGAGAGAGATGGACCACAGATGAAAATATCTTTTCCTTCCATGAGCAAGATGGAGCTAAGAAGTTTTTCTAGTGATTTCTAGAAGTTTTTCTAGATAGCTTCACTATGTTAATTTTCTATCACTACAGCAAATACCTGAGATAATCAACATAGAAAGACAAAAGGTTTCTTTTGGCTCAGTTTTGGAGATCCCGGTTTATGACTGACTGACTTCATTGCTTTTGTGCCTTTCGGTGAGGCAGAGTGTGCGGTGGAACAAAACTGCTCACCTCCCAGTCAGGATACAAAAAAGGGAGGAGAAAGAACATGGGGACCCACTATTCCCTTCCAGGGAACACCCCAAGGGATCTGAAGACCCAGATCTGCCTCAGCCCCACCTCAGAAGATCTACCACTTTCCAACAGTGCCAAGCTTAGACCCAGGCCCTGAACACATGGGCTTTTGGGGGACATTCCAGATCTCACTATAACATCAACACAACACTCATCAGTTGTCTCTTAAATATAAGGAAGGGATTCATGTCAAAAAGCCATTTCTGGTATGAACTACATGATCTGAAAAAAAACATAAGAATAATCTAACCCCCTCCAAAAGGTATTAAGGATAGTGTTGATTTATTTTCTTATAAATAAAATATTTCAACTTTATATTTACAAGAAATAAACTTTATATTTACAAGAAATAACTATGCATTTCAACAAGTATGCCTTTCCTAGGATCCAAGCATTCTTCCAAGATAGGAAGTCCTTTTCAAGTTGTGACTTAGGAGACTAATCAACTGGCCATAAGAATTAAACATGTTAAATCTGACTTCTAAACTATGGATACTGAACTTTGCCTCTGTCTCAACTGGTACTGTATTCAACAGAACTCACCTGGCCACCCTGTTCACTTACCACTTTCCACTATGTTCGATTCACTCTGTCACTTTTGTTACTTTATCTGTGTAACCACCATTTACTCTCAACAGAAACCTTTGCTCCTGGAAGGGATCACTTTAGTCATTACATTGCATCCCCTACCAGCATTACCCTTAAACAAGAGACCACAGTAAATCACCTAAAGTGCCTCCTGAAGTATTCAATCAAACCCTAAAGTACAAATCCCTATAAAACTAGGGAAATTAAAAAGAATATTGAAGACTAACTGCATAGCAGATGCTCAATAAATATAGATTGATCATTTTAAAGTATTTCTATACCATTTCAGTGACTATAGCTAAAAAGGACAGAGAATCACTGGAGCTTTCTGAAGATATTCCTGGAAGTCTGGGCATCTTCCATTATGCCTTAATGGAATGTCTTTGCCTATATTCCAGCCTCACTACTAAGTTCCATGTTAAACTTTTTTGATAAAAAACTCGACTGCTTTAAGGGGGATTGAAAACCACAATACTATGAGTATTCTTATCTTTTAACTGTGTTATCCAATCTTAAATATTCATGCTTTTACACATTTATGTATAATGAATTTTAATATTGCCCATGTCTTTCCCTTTGGACCTAATTTAAAGTACAAGATGAAGATGATGATTTTTGGAGAGAAGGGAGCAACACTGAGAGTTGTGTTCTTTGTATGGTGATAGGGCTCTGTGCGTGGCCCAGATAGGGACGGGGTGCCACTGTGACAAGAGCCTAATAAGGAAGCTCTACTTACTAGTGATAGGGCTTGGTAACACTGCTGATTGGTTTTGTCAGCTGACTTACTTGAATGTAGTTGTCAACAACTCCCCAAGCAAAGTCACAGGGAAATGTCCCTTCTAAGGGTTGGTTTTCAGGTAAAGGAGGGAAGCCATTGCTCTCTATCAGCTTTTGGTAGAACAAGGCTGAAGACTTTGGCATCAACTTCTTATCCTGGCTCAAAAAGTCGACATAGAAGAGCCCACGTCGGATGCTGTAGCCTCTGTGCCACTCAAAACCATCCATGAGGGACCATGCTGTGTACCCGATGACATCAACCCCATCCAGCCTGATGGCTGCAAAGAGAAGAGAAGACAAGAGTGGCATGACTTTTCGCTCGATACTCGTCTCATGATTCAGAGCACCTGAGGGTAATTATGCATAACTCTTCCTACGTGATACAGCCATTGATTTTTCTTATTGATAAATGGTTTGAACCTCTACAAGTAAATATCTTCACAAAAAGCTCATTTCCAGTATGTTTTTATTTGGATTTCTGAGATGGGAATATATTTTTCCCAGTGGGAAATTTTCTTGTTCTAAATTTTCATCTTAGGCACCTAGAATTGTGGTTTATGCTATAAATGAATAAAGTATTTTAAAGTATGAGATATTATTTTCTCCAGATAACAAGGATATTCCTTTTAAAAAAAAAAGTGCTTCATTTAGCCAAAGCAGTAAGAACTCATCAACATATACTGAAAGAAAGATATCCTTAGATTTCTATTATATTTAACATAATCTAAAAATCTGGATTAGTAACTCTGCCAGTCAAGTAATTTCAAACATTAATGCAATTTCTCTTTATAAAGTGAATTTTAATCAACTTAGGTGCCTCAAGTCCCAAATGAAAAAGAACTCACATAAGTACATTTATACTATTGCCAAAATAAATGTTTACATTATGGTTAAAAAATACAAATGCAAGCCGAGTGTGGTGGTGCATACCTGTAATCCCAGCACTCAGGAGACTGAGGTAGGAGGATCACTGTGAATTTGAGACCAGCCTGGGCTACATAGTGAGTTCCACGTCAGTCTCAACTACATAGTGAGACCCTGTCTCAAAAAACCAAACCAAACCAAACCAAAAAAACAAAACAAAACAAAAAAAAACTATATATATATTCATTGCAGATAATCTTAACGATTACATTTCCAGTGGATTTTAGCAGTGAACAAGACTTTTACTCAAAATCTTACCTTTCAAGGTTTCCATTATGAACTTTTTTAGGTAATACATATATTTGGCATCATCTTTCTTGGTGGTCCCTGAAACAAACCAGCCACTTTCCACAATAAATATCTGAGGATGATTATATTCAAGGTCTATCCAGGAGAGGAGTTGCCTCAGGCTAGGAGATTCTAGTTGGTGGAACTTCATGTGGGGCTCCAATAGTTGAAAGCTCAGTGTTGGTCCAAAGGAAAGTGAAAAAAAGTCAGCTGTTCCCTTGATGAACTTTTTTTCAGATTCAGTAAAATCAGGCAGAAGAGATGAAAGGTTACTCTTCATGCTATCGGGATAATCACCATCAATAAATATGGGTTTGGCAAACCAGTTTAGGACAAAGTCAAGAGATTTTTGACATTCTTTGATGTTGTGGTCAGTCATTCTTTGAGGAGTAATCCAGTGGGAACCTAGGGCAATGGACACCTGCCCTCCCTGTGTTGGACGGAAGGAAGTATTGTAGAGATGCCAGATTTTGGCATGAGCCTATGAAGAGAAAAAACATGGTGAATTTCTGGTTGCGGGGAGAGATGCAAATACAAGATTGATTCCTCTATTCTAGTTATATCTGTTTTCCATCAAGCCTAAAGAAATAACTAACCTCACAATATAAAAATCAGCTGGAACCAGTAAATTATTTCAGTGCTAGGTCACCCCATAGTGAGCTGCTACCACAATCGGACTTATTTCCTTGGTTTTCAGCACTCAGCGGAAAATATGACTTTATTGTGTTGAATGGATAGTGATTATTCATATTGTGAAAGGGTAACAAAATAGAATTTGTTATAATATCTTACTATTTAATTGACTTTGGATTATGTACTTTTTAATTAATGGGTAATGTGAAAAACACCAGTCTTACATCTGTGATCACATCAGGAATTTCTAAATAGGATTATGTGTTTTATCCTAAGAGACTGGGAGTTTCCAAATTGACTCAAGTTGTTGGAGTCAATTTGATATTTCTTATTAATCTCTTATAACCGAAAACGCTAACATGTGTCCTCCCAATCTCTGTTCTCCCCTGTGAATTAGCACAATAAATTAAACGATGAACTCCGGTATCTAACCTTGGCATGCCCTCTAGAACTCTGGGAGAGTGCTAGATTCCTATCCAAGAGGGAAAGTTCAAGCCAAAAGCAAAGAAAACTAAATACAGCTGTGAAGTAGTAGGTTGTCCACAGTTAGTACTGAGCCAGGAGTTTCTTAGCAATGAAAAGGGCTTTGCTATAATAAAACTAACTTATATTCCTATAAAATCATACTGATTGCTGATACGTTTTCATATGTTTCCTTTTTATTTACAAATAATGGAGCCTATTTGGGTTTTTCCCTTCCTATTTGAATGAACTTTCTCTTTCCCTTTGAATTATTTGATTTACTCTCATTTCTCCCTATAAATACAAACACTATTTATCAGTCTTCTACTCCCTAAATGTATTATACTCTGAAAATTCTACTTCTGTTTGATTCTGTATATTCTCCAAAATGATCATGCCAATTCTCAATCCAGTCCCTGAGCCTGAAGAAGCTCTTTTGTTCACTGTGCCAAATATCTTCATTTGTCCTAAATATTCTTCTCCTGCTTCATTTCAATGCATGTGTCCAAGGATGGCCTCATCACTGTTCTTAGGAATGCAGCTAAACATTTTAATAAAGTAGGATTGTTTATTTCTAACTTTTATTTTTAGTTACTTAGCCATATCTATTATGTTCTACTTCAGTGTATGTAATCTTTTCATGATCTGAGGCAGCTATCTATAAGCTAAGAAGGAAATGGAGAATAAATCTAGATCAAAGCAACAGCAGTGGGCTGGGGATTTAGGTCAGTGGTACTGCTGCCTGCCTTGAAAGTATAAGGTCCTGAGTTCAAACCAAAAACAATAAACAAATAAAACAGCAGTTTTGATTATGTGATTCAAGAAAACAGGGACTTAATTGTGCTGTGCTGCTCCTAGCTCCCACCCTTCTTGATCTTCCTCAACTCCACAAAACTATCCCTCCCGTCTCTATAGACAGGAAACTTTATGACATAATTTGACAGATGAACAGAAAGCCAAGGAACAGTCTAGACTGATAAGCAGGAATCCAACTCTTGGGACATAGGAACAGCAGACATTTCTAATTTGTCCCAGTTTGAGAACTCCAGTCATGTTCTAAATCTGACAGGTTCCATTTACAGAACAAATGCTGAACCGGCAAGAATGAGGGCATCCCCAGAATCTCCTAATCTGGGTCAATTTTTAAATCATGAAATAGAATTGTTCACAATCATGGATTTCTCTTCTAACTCTGAAGACTTCAACATGGCTCAGAGGAGACCAACAAGACAATGATAAGTGACCTGAGCTGTTGACAAAGGCACATGTGATTGTTGGTGTCAGATAAAGTGTTTTCTCTATCACATTTTTATTTACATGACTTTGGCCACAATACTTAACCTGGGCAGATAAATGCAACTCTTCTGTACTTCTCATAGGGACTGAATGAATTAGGTAATTTCTATAAAGCTACAACATAGAATTTGCCACGGTAGGGTCTCCATGAATGCTTACTCTTTCTCACCCTAAAGAATGAGCAGGCAAAGAAGGAAGAACATTGCAGGTGAAGGAAACACCGCTATGGAATTGCCCACAGCAGTGACCAGGTGCAATGATAAAACTGAGGTTTGGATCACAACCCCTCTATCTCCCAGTGTGAGTCTCTGTTGCTTCTCTGTACAGATGCAAATAGTATCTATTCACCCACAAGGACATTGTGAGGATTAAATAGTCTGATGAAAACAAAGGTGCCTATTAAGTAGTCAGTTGTAGGAAATACATTCCCAGCACTGGAAAACACCTTTGTCTTTACTGTTCATCTACTCCAATACCCCACTGCGTATGTTATTTGACTGTTCCCTGCACCAGCCCAACCAGATGGTCTGTGTGTGCGTGTGTGTGTGTGTGTGTGCCAGGGATCGAACTCAGGTCATTGCACTTGCAAGGCAGCCGGTAGAACCACTGAGCTAAATCCCTGGCCCTAGGTGGTCCTCTTGTGCTCTATATCTTCTCCAGAAAGTATCCCCAACCCCACCTGACTCCATGCTGAGCTGCATGACCAAGACTTAGACATGATTCTCTCCTGTCATGTACTGCAGTTAATAACACACCCTTTCGCAGCCCCTCCACTGCCAATTAAGTGGAGTTGAACTCTACTCCTTCATCTCTTCCTAAGGAAGTTCATTCCACTTGCAGATCATGGATTTGAGAAATCAAATATTGAACTATGAGGCAGTATGTGGGTAAAGTCATCACTTAGGGTGCTTCAAAATCCTAGGGTGATTAACAAGGAGATGATAATATATGGTTATGTATTGCCTTCTAATTGTTTCAGGTATGTTAATCTTATAAACGTGTTGTCCTAAGATTGAGACTTAGTAAAGCTACTTCCAGAGAATACTGAGCTATACTCAGACAAATACTTAACTGTCTGGTCAGGAATGTCCATCTCAATATTTTTTCTAATAGCAAAGCATTGAAAACAATTGAAATGCCCAATATCCAAATACACTTATAAACATATAATCAAATAGGAATGTTGTAATACATAATAGTATAACTAAAGAAATACTCCTGTTCAGACATTATACATTTTCAAAAGAATGTCTACTAACATGTTTCTAAAATACTAACTGAACAAAAAATAAACAAGTTTCAAAATAGCGAGTAGAATGTAATAGATTTTTTTAGGAAAGAAAAACATGTACATAAGATCTAGAAGGATTTATAACTTGTTTAAATAACATTTGTGGCAAGACTGTGATGGTATATGTCTCTTCATTTTCTACATAAATATATATTGCTCTGGAGATTAAAAAAAGAAATCCAAAACAGGGGGATGCTTTATAGCAAGGCAGGCTCTCAGTGATGATTGCTGCAAATCTCTGATCTAAATAACTCCTTCCTACCTGCTCTGACTCACCCTATAGTCTTGGCCTTAAATTCCAAATTTCCAAACAATGAACCCTGCTTGAAGTTTTAAGATACCCTAGACTCTCACATATTTATAAATGCAGCTTTCTAGAGCATGTTTTCCCTACTCTCAGTCCTTCCACGTCCCACCCACACTTCAAAAATCAGCTCAGATACTACCACCTCCAGGAAGTCTTCCCTGGTATCTTCCTTCTCCCCAGCCTTGGGGAGTGTTTCCACAGTTGACCTCTATCAATGACCTCATGTTTTGTTACATTTGTTTAAATATCTAGACTGCAGGTGCTTCAAAGCCATTGATTAGGACTTTTATCTCTGCATTCTCAGATCCTAGCAAGGCATCTGGGACAGAATCAGTCATAAACAGATCTGAAGAAATGAAGGCTCAAGGTTAAGAGCTACATCAAAGGGCCTGGGACAGATGCAAATGTTTTTCTAAGTCTATTTTATTTCTGAGACCTTGAGAGACAGAAAACTTTTATTCACATGCCATTAAAAAATAAATTAGAAGGAATTTGACATGGTAGCCTCTGAGGATACTGTATTCTGAATAATACAATGTACTAATGTTATAATGTACTAATGTACAATGTTATAATTTGGGATATAAATCTCTCTGTATATGATGTCCTTCCTAATCCCAAACTAGATTTGATATATATATGGGGTCTAAAAATGCTTTAAAAAAACCCCAAAAAACTAACCATCCATCAGCTAGCATTCCCAAATGCCAGAAGACAAGGAAAATACTCTGAAGTTTATAGCATATACAAACAATTCCTCTCTGGCTAAATTGTAAGCTTCCTGTCACTTATTTCTTTGTATCTTTCACAGGATCCAACTCTTAAATTTCACACAAATAAACAGTAAGTGAAAGGAAATTTAAGTGCTGAGCCTCGTGTCTGTTTCTGCTTTCTGCATGGAGTCATGTTTCAGATACGGGTGAGGAAAATGAGGCTCAAGTAATACACTGAGTATCACTGATCTGAGAAGGTAGAAGTCAGGGGCGAGGACTACTGAGGCAGAGCAACGTCTTAAAGAGAAGAATGTTGCACCAAAATGTCCTAGAAGTCTGCCTGGTAATTTCCTGAGGACCCTTAGCTGTGTGTGCACAGGATAAGACTCTGAGAGGCTTAGCAAAGAGAAGTAGCTATGTGTCAAGAGAGAATACCAAAGGCTGTGCAAGGCTAGGAAACAATGCAGTTCAGAGCAGCAAAAGTAGAGAAATGTTGCTAAGCATTCAGGCATTCAGATGAAACTCAGAACAGTCATATGTGAGGAATTAAGGACAAAGCAAAAATAGGTCAGCTCTAACAAAGATTAAACACAAGCCAAGCAGGATCAAGCAAATCCTCTAGTAATTCAACTTCTCTGGCAGAACAAAATACGCCTTTTTGAGGAAAACAACATTAACTGGACTCCCTATAATGTACCCAGAGGATAAAAAAAATTACTAGACATATGCAAACACAGGAAAATGAAACCTTTAATTGTGGAAAAGGGGGAGGGTTCAAA